CTATCTGCCAGCTGCAAGAAGTTCTGCTCGCAGGTCCTTTAATCAGATGATCACTGGAATATCACAACCTGGGTGCTGCCTGAAAGGCCACAGTTGAAATAAATTCTGTGGATTAACCGAACAAAATTTAACCCTGGTTGAGGCAAGAGCCTTTGATTGGCTAGGCACATGGATGGTGCTTTAATAATTAGACCAGTGCCACAGCCTGGGCTCCCCAATCCTCTTCCCATGAGCACATGGCTTCCCCCAGAAGAACATCCTTACCAGGATCCAAGCCTGGTGTTTCTGGTTGCAGAGCCACCTCTGCTGGTTCCTCAAGCTGAGATCCAGGGATGCTCTGAGATGCTGCCAAGGAGATCCCTGTGCAGTGTGGAAAGAGGTGGATCTCGACCATTACAGTGGGCAGAGCCATGCACCAGCTTGGAAGGAGAGATTCATCTTGGAAGGAGAGATTCAGATGTGGGCAGGGCTGCTGGAATACCTGTGGTCCCATTCCCTTCTAGCAGAGGAGCACTTCGGCATGGTACGTTTGGTCTGTGGGAAAATGTCAGCCAAAGGAACTGGGGTGATGCTGAGCACTTGGCAAGGTGACCCTCATTGCTGACAGAGGCTGCAGAGAGCCTGTTTTGCTCTTCTGGGCAAGGAGGTATCACAACCTGTAAAGGAAAGTGATTTGAATACGGTGCAGCACAGGCACTAGCACACAGAACTGTAGTTCATGGTTGTCGCCAGCCCTACCCCACCACTCTGCAAATTGTGTCTATTGTGTTTCCTAGCAATATCACTTGCTGGAATCTACTTCTGTTCAAAATGCTGGGGATGGGAGGGTGAGGTTTGGGAAATAAAGTAAGGTTGGAAAGTGAGGTTTGTCTGGCCTGAAACCTTGCTTCCAGAATTTTAAATACGCTCAACACACTCGGTCCCAAAAGACTCCGTCTGGCTCACATGTTCATTAGAGAATCACAGCAACCCCAGTTTTTCCTACTCCTGTGAGTACCTTACCCTCTGCTCTGCAGACACTGTCCTCTTGAGGATCAGCCTCTTTTCCAGGGTTTGGTGCTGGGTGATGAACTATCCCAGAAGGATCCAAACTGCCAGCACAAAGGACAGCAGAGATCTCATATAGGCTATGCAAGGCATTGTCAGCAGCACCCTCCTCCTCGAAACCCTGTTGGTCCAAGAGAATCTGGTATCAGAAAGCAGAAATTCCAGAGGAAGACCACCCCTTTTGCCAGGATTGCCTACATTACAAGGTGACCACAGGAGCTAGGGTTGCTAACAGGCCTGTTCCTTTAACAGAAGCATAATGGGATGTTATGTACTTCATAAAAAACTTCAGCTTCTAGGACAGGGACAAGACATTTTACTCCAGGAGATGCTGTTACCTCCTCCGATATACCTGTGTTAAACTCACTCTCCCCAAAAGCCTCGGAGGCACCTGGCAGCCAGAAAGGCAGTAAAACCAGGGTCCTGCACCTCACATTAATCTGGCATGGGTAGGCAACACGGAGCCAGAAAATGACTCAATTTTTGAACCATTTTGGAAAAAAAAAATAGGAGTGTTGAGAGCGAGAACGTACACAGGATCCCATGACCAATACAATCAACAGAGATAGCCATACTAATCCCTAATCCCATCTCCTCTGCTCTGACCCCGGTGTAACAGGCCGGATTAACCCCCTGGCCAGAGTAACCCCGGGGTTACTCTGGCCGGGGGGGTAATCTGGCCTGGGGGGGTTATTCTAGCCTAGGCCAGAGTACCCCCGGGGTTACTCTGGCCAGGGG